GGGAGGGGGGTGGAGGGGGGGTGGAAAGGGTGGAGAACTTAAGACTTCCTGTGACCAGTCCTCGTGCTCCCAGCTGTCTGCATCCTCCTGCCCGGACCCTGGCAGCGCCCAGGGACGATTAGAGGCTGCATACAGCATCTTGTAAATATGTCACCTGGGGTTTGGGGTGGGGAGGCAGGGACAGAAACATCAATTAAAGATCCTCTCTGTGGGCTAACACCAACCCGCGTCTCTCCTTTGCGTCAGCGACCGCACTGTGACCAGGGGACCCTTCCCTGTCCTTCCTGGCGCCGGAGGGAGGGTGATGATCTGTGATGGTGGAGGGGGTGAGGGGTGGGCACTGGAAGCAGGAAGTTAGCACCTGGGACTGGGCACTGGGAGGCCAGGAGGCAGGACATACTTTTCCATCCACAGCCAGGAAATAGACACAGACTGGGTGGAGGGTCTGGCCCTTCCGCTTCCTCTCGGCCTAAGATAACGGCCCGCGGGTTTCAAAGAGGAGCAGCGGGGAAGTGAATTGGAAAGCATCTTCTAAAAGGTGGGAGACTGGAGAGGCCCGTCCGCACCTCCCAGACCCCAGAAAGGGGGCTGAGACTGCCCACTCAGGGCACAGTGCTCTTGGGCCTACAGCGAACCTGTTCTCCACCTCTGCTGCCTCCTGCTGCACCCGGGGCCGGAAGGAACTGGGCAAGGCGAGCCCTCCCCCCTGGGGACCCAGTTTGAGCCAGGAGGGTTTATTCTCCTCTCTCCCTCCAGACCACGTTGGGCCTGGGGGACTGTGGCTCTGGGAGTCCCGCTGGTTCAGGGGAAAGATAAGTGAGAGGTGGGGACAGGGAATGGGACTGGGAGGACAGAGCGGAGATACTGGGAGCAAGAAATAGAGGCAGCCGGCAAGGCCTGGGGAGAATGAGCAGCTGGGAGCTCCCGGGTCATAGCCCAGCCCCAGGGCCAGGACCCCATGTCAAGTCCTCGATAGCCACACGCAGCCGGTGGCTACCATGTTGGGTAGCGGCAGGTTCTAAGTCTACAATAACTGATGCTATTCAGTAGCAATAGCTAAGCCCAGGAAACTGAAATAAGGCGGGACAGAAGAGAGGACACAAACTGTAGCGAGAAAGATTTGGATCAGCTGCCACGGACAAGACCTCATTAAAGGCAGAGGGCTCTGTGTGTGCTTTCTAGAAGGCAGGCGGGGAGCCAGGGTGACTTGGGCAGGATGGGGGGATTGTAACTTAGTAAGAGCCTTAGATGTGCCCGGCCCTGAATGAGGCTCTGTCCCCCTCCCCTCGTTCCCTTCCCCCAGAAACTTGCTGTAGATGAAAGATTTCCATTAACCTTTTCTGAAGGAAAACAGGAGAGAGGAAGCCTCCTCCCGCCTAAAGGACTTGGTGGGCGAGTCAGTGACGGCTTCAGCGTTTGGTCTCTGAAGGTGGAGATTCAGTCTCCTTTCTTGAGAAACCACAGGTACATTTAAGAGAGTCAGACCCGCATACACCTCACACAGGCCCCGGAGGGCCGCCCTCCACACCCAGAACCCCTCTGGTGTTCACGGGGGCCCCGTAGGCTTTCTGGGGCTGAAAGCGAAGGCAGGACAGCAAGTTGGTTAGCGTCATGGCTCCAGCTGTTGCTATCATGCCCTTTAAGAGTCCTAAGATAGGACGACCTGGAGATCATCCTTAGCGACGCTCCAGAAACGTGCCCTGGCAGCCCCAGCAAAGGGCAAAGCGCTCAGGACGGCCCGTCCCTGGACCTTGGGGAGGGACAGGTCTCCCTGCCTCAGGTGGGTGGGCCCAGGAGGCCGTGGAGATCTCCTCCACGAGGGCCTTCCGCCCTGTCACACGCCGCGTTCCAGCCCGGCTATTTATAAGGACAAGGTGCCCCTCAACCCCCCTCAGCGTGCCGACCTGACACCCCTCACGCCGGATGCCCTTTGCTCTTCCACAGAGCTCTTCACAGGCCCATCTGACCGTGAATGGAGACCGAGCCCGGGTGAAGGGATGACGACGGCAGCGTCCAGCACACTCTGGCCCTGTGCTGTCTCGGGGGCAGCCCTGGCCGCTGGGCTGCGTCGGGGGCCCCACTGCCTTCTGAGGCAACGCTTCCTGTGGGCTCTGAAGTCCTAACCGCCCCACCCCCCACTCCGACCCCTCGTGCACAGCCCTGGCCTTCTGCCACCTGAACCCCTGCCCACTTGGCAGCCTACAGGCTTCCTGACAAGTGTCTGACCGGCTGCCAATCTCTATTCTCCTCAAGAACCGTCTGCTTCGTCCTGGCAGCTGTAGTGCCCACTTAGGTTTAAAAATAAACTCCCTGTCTGCCCCTCTCCAGCCTGACCCCAGGAACTTCCTCCAGGTTGAGCCGGAGCCTGGCTGCCTCCGAAATAAGGAGCCACCATCACCCCAGAGGCCACGGCAAGGCCTCTATCCCAGGTCTCCACTGAGACTGTAGGAAGCTCATCCCAGGAAACTGCATCTGGTCATGAGGCACCTGTCACTGTCATCTGGGGTCACTTCTGGTTGAGGACTTCAGCATAGGAGTGGGGTGGCGGGAGGCAGGGCTGCCATTCGGGGGAGACTCTCAGGTTTGCCCAGACTGGCGTCATTACCAAACTGTCGTCGCCAACCTTTACTGGGCGCTCACAGTAAGGACGCAAGGGCGCCTGCCTTCCTGGTGGGCGCGCCTGCCTCTCCGGCCATTGAAGTCCACCCTCCGCACTCCACCCCACCTCTACTCACCCAGGTAACCGCTCCCCCCACTTCACGCTCAGTCTGAAAACCCACCCTTAAGGCCGTGCCGGAGCCCCACTTGCATTCTTACCAGTGCTCTTGGGTCCTCCCCCCAAAGGTCAACCCCTCCCCTCTACATTGAACCCCAGCGCCTCCTACCTTCTGAGGACATCATCCTGCCACCTACCAGCCCTCTCCTATCTCCTCCTTCCCATAGCCCAGACCTTTCCGGCCTTAAAAATAAAAACAAAACCCACCACCCGGCCACCAGCCCCACATTTACAGCCACATTTCTTTTCTTTTTAAAATCCTCACCCCAGGATATTTTCCCGTTAATTTTTAGAGAGAGTGGAAGAGAGGGGGAAAGACAGAGAGAAATATAAGTGTGAAAGAAACACATCAATTGGTTGCCTCCTGCAGGTGCCCCAACCAGGGCCGGGGAGGAACCTGCAACTGAGGCCTGTGCCCCTGACGAGAACTGAACCTGGGCCCCTCAGTCCACAGGCTGACCCTCTATCCACTCAGACACACCGGCCAGGGCACAGCCACATTTCCTGATAGAAATGCCTGCGGCCATCACATTTCCTCATCACTCATCTGTGCTGCGCCAGCACAGCCAGGTTCACCTGAGCCTGAGAGGGGGCGGTGAAGGATTGAGAAAGACCAGAGAAGAGAGCTGGGTCTGGGTGGGATGCCGCCCTCTCTGATGGGGAGAGAGCGCCGTGGCCTACAAGCCGAGTCTTTATTATTTTATAGCAGTTTCCACGAGGCAAA